TGTCGGCGCCTCATAATAATCTTGTGATAGTGTCCGGTGGTGGTGGTCGGCCTATGTTCATTTGTATTTTTTTTGATAACACCAGTGTACGTTCCACCGCCAAACAGGCGACGCGCTCGTAATAAATAAAATTTTTTTTCAACAATAAATAAGAGCGTTCGATTATTTTAATATTAAAATCCCGCTCTATTCCATTAAATGGTCCTTCGAATCGCGATAATTAATTAAATAAAAATAAATAAATTCGTTTTTCGTTTGTTTCGTTGAGTTAAGTTCGTTAAGTTCGTGTAATTCGCGTTTTCAAGTGTTTAAATAATGAAATGTTAGTTAGTGTCTAAAATTAGCCATTGGGTTTTGAGTAACCAAAATACAATGGATGACAAAACAATCCACGATAACGCAACGTTAATTAAAAGGCGTGGCGTATTAAAAGGGCAATTGACAAGATTCCTTAATAATGTATTAGCTGTGAAGTCCGATGGTGGAGATAAAAACAATCTTAAAACCAGAAGAGAAAAAATTGAAGAAACTTGGGTAAATTTCCAAAAAGTCCAAGAGGAAATAGAGGGACTTGAGGAAACAGATGATACAGAAGATGAATATAGAATTCAATTTGAAGAAATTTATTTCGAAGCAGTTACAGAATATGACAAAATAATGAATGAAATGAATCATTCGAACGATGTCGATCAAATTTCACCCACAAACATCATGACATCTACAAGAACAATTAACAACACGTCAAATCAACCATCAATAGTCAACCTAGCCCCACTTAATGTACCAACATTTAGCGGCTGCTACAAAGAGTGGTCGACGTTTAATGATATATTTATCGCTTTAATACATGAAAATGAAGCGTTATCCGATGTGCAGCGTTTTTTCTATTTGAAAAATTCTTTGGCAGGCGATGCATTAAAAGTCATACAATGTTTTGAAACATCAGCAAAAAATTACAAAATAGCGTGGAAAAGTTTAAATGAAAGATTCAATAATGAACGAATTTTAGTGCAACAACACACGAAAGCGATTTATGACCTTCAGTCGATAGACGAGGAATCGTCTAGAAGTCTAAGACAATTTATAGATGAATTAATGGGTAACATGAAGGCTCTGGAAAACTTAGGGCATGACACTAATAAATGGGGTCAGTTGCTAATACACGTCATATTGACAAAATTAGACGAAAAAACTTTAAGAGCTTGGGAAAAACAAGCATCAAAAAACAAAGTTTCAAAAGTCGAAGAATTAATAGATTTTTTGAATAATCATTTTCAAATGTTGGAAGCAGTCGAGAGTGCGACAAAAGTAAATGGTGTCAGTGAAAATAAATTTAAAGATAAAAAGAGAAATAATTATGAACAACAAAAGAAAACTGTGTTTCATTCAACTCAAAAAAAGTTTAAATGCTACATGTGTAATGAAACATCACATGCAATTTATCATTGTAAAAAATTTCTTGAGCTTAACATAAAAGATCGACGTAGTAAAATCAATCAACTCAACATTTGTGAAGTATGTTTATCTCAACAATCAGAAAGTCACGCATGTAAATTTTCTGGATGTAGAAAATGTGGAGAAAAACATAACACATTGCTTCATTTATCAGAGGAAATTGACAATGAAAATTTGATAAGTACTCATATAACATGTATAAATCAAAAACATGTGTTATTGTCAACAGCAATAATAATTATTCAAGGAAAATCAAAAGAAAAATTTGTTGTTCGAGCTTTGTTAGACTCGGGGTCTCAAACAAACTTTATAACAACTGATCTGGCACAGAAATTAAAGTTACAAAAAAAAAGAGTTAATATAGGTATAGCTGGTGTTGATAATTCAATGAGCAAGTCGTACTACTCTCTAAAAACAACAATTCAGTCCCGAGATAACAACTACAGCAATGAACTTGAATTCCTATCGCTGCCGAAAATAACGTCATTGTTGCCTACTGAAAAAATAAATATAAACAACGTAAAAATACCCGCAGGTATAATGTTAGCGGATCCACATTACTATGTACCTAAAGAAATAGACGTATTACTAGGCGCAGAATGTTTTTATACAATTTTAATGGCTGGTAAACATACACAAAACGACAATGAAATTATATTCCAAGAAACCAGATTAGGATGGATAGTTGCTGGAATAGCGACGAGCTCATGCAACAAAACAACAAATACTTTTTTCAACTCTGTTGTAATTGAAAATAAAGTCAATTTAAACGAGCTCATGTCAAAATTTTGGAAATTAGAAGAAATAAATTCAGAAAACCAGTATAGTTCTGAAGAAAGAGCGTGTGTAGAACATTTTGAACGGACGGTAAAGCGTGATCATACGGGTAAATTTATAGTCAAACTACCGCTAAAAAATGACATTGAACAACTTGGAGAGTCTAAATCAATGGCCATGCGACGTTTTTTATCAATCGAGAACAAATTACGAAATAACTTAAATCTTCGTGAAAGCTATGTTGAATTTATGAATGAATACGCTCAGCTTAATCACATGGAGGAATCCGAAATAGAACATCAAAAATCATATTACATGCCACACCATGCAGTCGTACGTGATCAAAGCGCTACCACTCAAACCAGAGTTGTTTTCGATGCTTCTGCCGCATCAAGTACAGGAGTAAGTCTTAATCAATTATTAATGAAAGGGCCGGTGATTCAAGATGAACTTGTCAATATTTTGGCTCGTTTCCGAGTGCATAAATACGTACTTTCTGCTGACATCGCCAAAATGTACAGGCAAATATGGGTGGATAAAGACGACAGACGTTTTCAAAAAATATTATGGCGTTCACAACCAAACGAACATCTCAAAGAATACTGTTTATCCACAGTTACGTATGGAACAACTAGTGCTCCGTATTTAGCCACGGCATGTCTTAAAAAACTGGCAGAAGAAAATAGTAAAAAATATCCACTAGCTAGCCAAGCAATAATATCAGATTTTTATGTCGATGATTATTTAGGAGGCGCAAATACGATTGAAGAAGCCGAAAATTTACGAGATCAGATAATAACAATAACAAATAGTGCAGGCTTTCCATTGCGTAAATGGATATCTAATGAACCGTCATTATTATCATCGATTTCAAACATAAATAATGACCCACACTGTGTACTTAACATGGATGGAAGTGCAATCAAAACACTCGGACTATTATGGAGTCCTCGTGATGACCTTTATCAGTATAAATTTAATAATCAGTCTAGTGTTCAAGCGATATCAAAACGCACAGTGCTATCGACTATCGCAACAATATTCGATCCACTTGGGTTAATTGGACCGGTTGTTGTAACAGCAAAAAAAATAATGCAACAGCTATGGCAATCGAAATTAGACTGGGACGACGAAATTCCATCTGATATCAGTCGACAATGGAAAGCGTACCGAGACGAGCTGCCGTGTATTGAAAAAATAAAAATTCCGCGTCGTATAATCGGATGTGAAAATGTGTGCGACTTGCAAATTCATGCTTTTGCGGACGCGTCAACTAGTGCGTACGGATCGTGTATATACTTACGAGCAACTGATGTAAATGGTTACAGTTCAGTTCGATTAATTGGCGCTAAATCGCGAATAGCTCCGTTAAAAGTCATCTCGCTCGCGAGACTCGAATTGTGTGCGGCTGTTTTACTAGTGCGTTTAGTAAATAAATTAGTGAAAAAACTTAATTTGAACATAAATAAAATTAATTTCTGGTCAGATTCTACGATCGTACTAGCGTGGATAAATTCGCCATCGTCAAAGTGGAAAACATTTGTAGCACATCGTGTTGGTGAAATTCATGATACTACATCAGCTAATCAATGGAGACACATTTCATCACCTGACAACCCGGCAGACATCATTTCTCGGGGTTGTAACGCAAATTCATTGGTAAACAATCAATTATGGTGGAAAGGTCCCAAGTGGCTGAGTCACGAAGAAGCAAACTGGCCAAACTATAAATCAAATTACAATTTGAATAATTGTGATTTGGAAGAAAAGAAAATAATAGTAACCTTGTCAAAAATCGAAAATTTCGATTTAACTGATAGGTATTCATCTTTTAACAAACTGTTGAGAGTAACAAAGTATATTCTAAAATGGAAAAAAATTATACAAAACAAACAATCATCAATCACAAAAAATAATTGTTCTACTTATGCTGGTCCAGATGAAATTAACGAAGCAAAAATCAAATTATTACAAATGGAACAAAATAAATACTTTTCTGAAGAATTTAAATGTCTGAAAAGAGGTGAACATGTCAAGAAAAACAGTAAGCTATTTTTTCTTAGTCCTTTTATCGACAAAAACGGTTTAATCAGAGTTGGCGGCAGATTGAATAACTTAAATATGAACCTTGAGAAAAAAAATCCAATATTACTACCCGCAAAATCAGCGTTAACTCGTTTAATATTTAGTCACGAACACATGGCCCAATTACATGTAGGTCCTCAAGCGCTGTTAGCAGCTGTTCGCGAAACATATTGGCCAATAAACGGAAGAAATTTAGCGAGGCTCACAGTGCATAAATGCGTATCTTGCTTTCGATCTAAACCGTACGTGTATCAGCCAATTATGGGTAATCTACCGAGTATTCGACTAACAAGTTATGAAAAAGTATTTTTTGCAACAGGCATTGATTTTTGCGGACCCGTACAAATTAAAAGCGGCTTACGAAAAAACTCCGCAAAAGTCAAATCATATATATGTATTTTTGTATGTTTCTCATCGAAAGCGGTTCATATCGAACTTGTGAGTGATTTAACTACAAATGCTTTTTTGGCCGCTCTTAAAAGAATGTGGAGTCGCCGTGGAATTGGAAAGTATATATATTCAGATAATGCGAAAAATTTTGTTGGTGCAAACAACCAACTACAAGAATTGAAGGAATTGTTTTTGTCAAAAAATAATCAAAAATTAATTCAAGATTGCCTTGCTGCGGTAAATATAGAGTGGCGGTTCATTCCACCTCGCTCTCCACACTTTGGCGGGTTATGGGAGTCAGCCGTAAAATCTGTAAAAGGGCACTTAATTAGAACGTTGGGAAATGCATCACTAACGTATGAAGAATTAAACACCGTTCTAGTTCGTATAGAGGCATGTCTAAATTCACGTCCGTTGACGCCTTTGTCTACAGATCCATCAGACTTGAAAGTTCTCACTCCAGCACATTTTCTTATCGGTGGATCACTATTAGACTTACCAGATCCAGACTATACGAAAATAACTCCTGGTCGATTACGCCGTTGGCAACGTGTCACTCAATTTACGCAACAAATTTGGCAAAGATGGCAAAACGAATATTTATCAACATTGCAACATAAGTCAAAATGGTACAAATCAAATGGTTCACGTCCCACAGTTGGATCCATGGTACTTTTGAAGGACGACAATTTGCCTCCACTAGAATGGCGACTTGGGCGTATCTCAAAAGTGTTTCCCGGCAAGGATGGCGTGGTGAGGGTTGCATTAGTCAAGACGAAACAAGGCGAGTTTAAAAGAGCTTGTCGCATTCTATGTCCCCTGCCATTAGACGATGAAGACGGAATACCAAATGATAACATTTTGTAAGAACCATTCATTTTGGCTGTTAAATATTGAGTTATAATAATTCAAAAATAGATTTTTTAATTTTAATAAAATAGTTAAAACAATTGATATTATAATCTCTTATTTCAT